TTTCTAATGCAGTACTTATAAAACTATTCAACAACAGTGTTTGTCTTTGAATCATATCAGACAATAATAGGAACACAAATATACTTTGAAATAGTGAACTGTGGAATGTGGGTGTGCATGTGAGGGTTGAAAAAACAAATTAAGATGTCCCACCTGAGGCCTAATATTGGTGCCTCTTTCTTGAATTGTAGGTTAGAATTGCTTTTTTGTGCACCTTAAAGTGGCCAATGTGCATGTGCGGTCATATTCGTGCTCATAACGGAGTGATAGTCGAGTTTAACCACTGATTTTGTCACATGGTATGGCCATAAGCTTGCAAATTCTAGACTATAAAAGAGAGTAAGGTAAACATACTAATGATATCTGTCGATGCAGGATTTAGATTCGAGTTTCGACGTTGAATGCGCTATTGAACACATGCATACACAACAGATCTACACACCAATGTAAGGCTCAACAACTCCAAGGTTCAGTTGAGAGTAGCAAATAGTAGGGGATCGCGTAGAATGTAACACGCTTCCCAAACATATCCTCTTACTTATAAAAGGAGTTTCCTAGAGTGGACCAAATTGGGTGGGGTAGTCTTGTTTTGGTCGAGTGGTGGCCCAATCAACTTAACCTCGGCGGTTTGACCCACATCGATTTTTCTTACCTGAGTTTAAGTGAACTTAGTACGGTAATTTCAACTGCATCCTAGAATAAACTATTTGGGGCAGGAGTGACTTTCCCCTTTTCAAAATCCAACAGTAGAAGCATGTTACATAGTTTGACAAAACAAACTCTTAAAACAAAACAAAACAAACAACAAACCCGCCGCGTTCACCGCTTTCACTTTTCAATTCCTAAATCAAAATCTCCGCCTTTGACAACGCTACACTATAAAATCCCAATTCTCTCTCTATAAATAATCACTCACAAATAACACTAAAACCTGCAACCAAAATTCAAATTATAACTTCAAAATGGCACCACCTCGTCCCTATATCTCCTTCTTCATTCTCTTTTTTCTCACCCTCTCTCTGCATTTGGCTGAGGCATGTATTCTATTATTAGTACTTTAAACCTTCCCTAATTATAATTTGCATCTTTCTTGTTCTATAATTATATAATGTGTTGTCTTTATTTCATCAACAGGCTGCTTCAAACTTTGGCCCTTCAGGTAATTAACTGATTCATGTATAATTTGTATATTCTTTATGTTGAATTTGATATATGTTTCTCAGCAACATATATATAGTAATGTTACAGAAATGCACATATGTTTGTCATGTTCAAATCATGTTTAGTCACATTTTGTTTTATGAGAAGAAATGGGAGTTGCAATTTTTCAACTTGGCAAAACTAAACAAGTGCTCTTGATGGACTAAAACTACTGTTTACCGTTCTAAAAGTCGCTACGAAGTCATCGTCTTAAGTACACTTATGGAAACAGATTGCAAGCCGAGGTGCAGTTACCGATGCTCGGCGACATCGCACAAGAAGCCATGCATGTTCTTCTGCCAAAAGTGTTGTGCAAAATGCCTGTGTGTGCCTCCAGGCACCTATGGGAACAAGCAAGTTTGCCCTTGCTACAATAACTGGAAGACTCAGCAAGGAGGTCCCAAATGCCCTTGAAATTCTCTGCCATCACATAGATCTAAGGATTCTTAGAGGGAAGAAGACAAAAAACTAGAGATTTCTCATATGTTCAATATTAACTTTTGCATCTCTTAAGAGGATTAAATATATGTTTGGTTCTTGATTTTAGCTTACCTTGTGTGGTTGATAAATGGTGATATTCCCATTATTAAGTTATGATAAAAGAAACGGAGAAATTAGATCATTTCAGAGCTTGTTTGTTAAGGACTCGTTTTGTAACGTTCTCGTTTTTTGTTTCTCGTTTCTAATTTTCTTAAGATATTTAAGCATTTTACGAACAACTATGTTTTTTGTTTCTCATTTTTTTGGAACATTCTCAAGATTGTATATAAATTTTCGAAACAATCAAAACAATTTTCTTTTTCCCATTTCCAATTTATTCCAAAACATAAATAAAAATATTGTTTGATTATACTTGAATTCTTAGATGCAATTCATTTTTCTTTATTAAAAATGAAGAAACAACAATGTTATCAAACGAACCCTAATGTTTCCGTTTCTTGTTTTTGTTTCTTCATTTTTAATAAAGAAAAATAAAATTGCATGACGCCAAACACCCATAAGTTCAATGATGATCAAACAATATTTATATTTATGTTTTGTAACAACTTGAAAACAGAAACAAGAAACAAGAAACTTGTTTTGATTATTTCCAAAATTTCTATACAAATTTAAGAAGATTTCCAAAAAATGAGAAACAGGAAACATGATTAGTTGCAAAATGCATAAGTTTCTTAATAAAATTTAGAAATGAGGAAAAAGAGAGCAATTGGAGTCTGGAGTTTATAAGTACAGAACCAAGCATCAAAACAATTTGTCATTTCACACTTTATATTATAGCGTTTGTTAAAAATTTTCCTTTGAACCAACTAATTTACTTATTCTAAAAGCACTATCAATCAAATCTAATAATACCAAGATAGGTGATAGATGTGACATGTTGAGAATGAGGAGGTTCTGCTACAAAATGTATTCTAATTCGTTTTGATTTTCAATTATCAACATTTTTCGAAAGATTATACTACTGGTAATTTTATACATATCAACACTATTTTAACCCAACTTGAGAGTAAACGATCAAAACAGATCTAAACCAAGACAAGACACTAACACTAACACGGCTATAATTCTTCCACTTGAAGAGAAAAACCACAGTGACACCGTTTTGTCACTACCAAACTTTTCTCATCTAGACTCTGATCCTCTAACAAAAACACATGGTTGTGATCTTCTGGAGCGATAAAAGACGGAGCATCCTTACTAGCATTATGAACTTTAATGTTATCCTGCTTGCACTCGGAAGGTTTCGTCTCGTCTTTACAAGAAGGAACATCTGCATTTGCCTTGTCATTCGTGCCTTGAACATTGCTCGTTGCTTGAAATGGATTGTCGTTGTCCCTGTAACGGCTGTTCAACCTTTGCCGAGTTAAGATCGATGAAAGAAGCTGATACCATCTTGAAATAGCTTGTTTTTCTCTCTGTCTTCTTTCCTCAGCCTCTCTTCTATCTGCTTCCTCGGTGTATGCCTGCATATAACATGATTCGAGTGGGAAAAATATCCAAGATGAAATGATTATAAAACATGAGCCGCAATGGGAATGTAGATATGATGGTTGATAAATAGAAGGAAATGGAGTTCGTTTAGAAGTGCAAGAAAGAGTCCCTAGTTGAAAATAATTGGACCTAGAAATAATAACAAAATGATAAATTACCACTGAAGCATAAGCTTAAGCTCCCGGGTTCCAAAAATTTCCACAATGTCCCACAAACAATCTTCAATATTAATTGGGAGGAAATGACGTTATAGGACTAGAACATAGGACTTTGTACTCTAATACCATGTTCAACTACCCTGGACCCCAAAACTTCTGATGAGTTACAGTAAATTTTAATCTTCTATCAATACTTTATAACAAATTATTGCAAATCGTCAAAAATGGACCATCATCATGATTTTTTTTTTTTTTTTGTGAAAGAAAAAAGTGTCTTAGCTAGAATATTAGGAAATACTAACCTCTAATATTGCATCTTTGAACTCAGAACAGACCACAATGCCATCATACATAGGATAGGATCGACCATTTCTAAATTCAAAGCCAACCATGGCAGGTGCATAATCAATTTCCAGCCTCTTGGCGACATTGAACACCCTGGACAACCTGATGTGCACAGTTCCTGGTGGAAGGCACTTTTCAGACCATACATCCACTTGACCACGCTCATTCTACAAGTTAGAATGCAACAATTAGCTTCTGATAGTGAAAACGACATAAGGAGTTATGAAAAAGCAGGAATGAAAAAATTTAGGAACGATCATTGTCAAACGATTCTATGCTTACAGAGTAAAACCACCAACAGAACATAATCCCAGGAATATAGCAAGGGAAAGTGACAAAGAAATGTCACATATCAAATGAAAGTGTCCCTATCCCTCTAACGATATACCAAATAGTCTAAGCAATCCATACAAAAAATGAGGAACATGGGTAATTCTATTTTGGGAGCTAGAGAACTTCCTAGCCTCTACCCGAAGTTTATTTGTTATCCAAAATAAAATAAAATAAAACTTGAACTACATTCATTATTGTTGAACATGATATCTTAAAACAGTTACTAATGAGTATAATTATAAAAAGACCATGGAGACAAATAAAATGCATGATTAGTTTTTTTCAAGATTATTATCATCAATTACTTAAAACAACTGTTATGAAATATCTCAGTTACAATGTATTGAGCACCACAAGCAAAACACTTTACAGAAAAAGGATTTAGAGCTAACAATTCTTAAAAGCTTTCATTACGCCAAGTTCACCAGGTTTTCCAATCAAACCTGCATTCATTATTATGAATCACAAATATTTAAAAAAAAAAAAAAAGATAAGAGCTCACTTTTGGCACAACCCCATTTATGGCATGAGGCAATTGTAATGGTTCCAATTGCCACTTCCCATAGAGTTGAATGACACCTTTAGAATCACCCTGATCATAGTCATCAGTTTCAGGTTCTTGTACTTTGACTTTCTTTATGGAACGTTCCAACTCCTGAAGCCAAATAACCAGAAAGTATGTTTCAGTTTTCCCAATGAAGAGCTCGGTTATTCCTTAAAAGAATATATAAGTAATTACAGTAGAGAGAAGAATAAGAAAATGAATGATAAAGTTTACGACTGATCAAACCTTAACAGGCAGTTCATTAGATTTAACTTGCAGTCCCTCACGCAGCCACTTTTCCTTTGTCTTAAGCATTTGGACACATGTTCTTGGGTAAACTGGATGTCCAGAGCAGAAACCCAGAACAGGACCCTTTGGATGAAACATCTGGTACTTCGTTAGCCATTTCTCAAGGGCATATAGACGGTGGTTTTTATAGGCCTGCAATTCAAACAGCATTTTCCATGTTAAAGCTTCAGAATCCCAATACCACCCATAGTTTGAAAAAAGATGATTCATCCACCTGCTGATTTGTTGGAAGAGGTTCAGTAAGAGCCCGAGTTTCCAATTCCATATCCTCAAGATAATCTCTCGTAGCAACAAATTGATTACCCAAAGACGAGCCTCGATCAGTGTCAAGCTCTTCTGACACATTGTGATCCAACTTTTCCACCAAGCTATCATCATATGTAAGATTTTTCTGCCTCAAATTATCTGATAAACCTGACATTTTTACTTTGTCATGTTCCATCAAGCCATCAATGCAGCTCTTCTCCAAGTGACCAGTGCCCCCCATGGCTCGTCCTTCAAGTATCCTTAATGGTGCCAATACACTATCCCACCAAAGAGTATCTATCCGTTTTGTTTCTATCTTGTACCACTTCATACAATATCTGTATATAAGATGACCAGAAAGTAACATATTATTCCATAATATTGGAAAATCCTTGCAGTCAGAATAATTGCCTGAAAACCAGTAGTAAACGTCCAAAAATAAAAAATTCATGTCACGATATAGTGTGGAACATTTCTCCCCTCACTCCCCCTTCCCCGCAAAGGAAAAAAAAGGAGACATGAAAACTATGAGAAGTACTGAGAATTAATTGCCAGCGTAATAGTTACTATTACTAACACGGCTATGCATCCTCCCCAATAGAAAAGTACAGATAAAAGTAATTTATCCCCATTCTAAAGTCCTAACGACAAAGCATAATGGCATCCTTGAGAAAACTGCAGGTAGTTTCAAATTTTAATCATCTCTCTCTGGCTTGTTCCTGTCTGTCATATGAATTGAAGAAATATGAAATTCAAAGTTCCATATTCTAGAAAAAGCCTCGAAACTACAATGCTTAATATACAAACCCCACCCCTCTTTCCCCCTTTAAATGGGTAAGATAGGAAACATGAGTAACAGACTTCAAATGATAATGGAAAATACAAAGAACAGCTATTCAATTCAATCATCTTGACAAAGACAGAGTAATAAAAGAAGACCTGCGGGTCACGTCTTTGGCACCAAGCCCAGCAAAAGCAACCACATATCTCAAAGATGTTTTGCACGCAGCAGCTAAATCCTCTACTCTGTGCTCTCCATCAACAACCATATTTACAGCATCAACGTGTACCCACTTACCTGTCAAGTTCTCTGCGTTGCAGTATACTTCTGCCCAATACAAGGGAGATCCCACTTTACTTGAACCAACAGCAGTGGAGATTCCACGGGAAGAACAGCCAGATTCTTCACTAACAACTCTTTTCACTTTTTTAGGTGAAGGAAAGTTCAATGATGGCCCATCTGAGTCATTTATGCTAGAATTTCTAGGCGTAGTATCAACTGCTGTTGAAGAAAGAGCCATTCGTAACTGCATTTCAAACTCAATATCCCCTTTCCTTTTTAGTACCTGAGAATTCTTTGAAGGGCGGGTCTCAGGAATATCAGGTTGTGAGTTGCAACCAGAACTTGTTGTACATGATAACTCGTCAAGGACATGAGGTTTCTTGCGTCCTAATTTGATTGCATTACTTTCACAGTAATCCCCAGCAGTACCTTCATTGAGATTATCCTTCTTGACATGAAAACATGATGTGAGAAAATTTTTATCAACCTGATCTGCTTTATCTACCATCAAAGTTGAGTTCTTGAAAATGTTCCTACTTGATCTGCTTGTCTCTTGGCTAAAACATTTAGATCTTTCGACCTCTGGTTTTATAGAAGCAACATCCAAAATAGATACAAACCTAGAAATTAACAATATGGGATCCTATTGATTAAATAGCTCTTTAAAATGCAGAACACATTGAAAAACAAACAAACCAGCAGCACATTTTTTTAAATACATGGAATGGCAGATAAATCTAATAGTAAAACAAAAATATTGCTATGGCTCGAAGAAATACACATCATAGCAGAAATAGACTCAAAGTAAATAAGTGATTGGTGAAGGCAGGACAACAAGCCATCGTCCAACCTAAAACTAGATTGCAGAAAAGATATCCACCTATAGGACAGACAAGAACAGAGCATTCTAAAGCCAAAGAACAACCTATGCCCGAGCAAACTCAAAACTGTCAGCTTTGTCCTTAAGTCCTTTGCTTACTCTTTCCAGAGCAACTGAGCAAGGAACCCCCATTTTGTAACTCAATCAACTTTTTGAGTTATAAAAACTTCTTTTCAATCAAATTGCACATTATTATTCCCAATATTCATTGGCCTTTCCACATTTGCTTTGACGATCACCCGCTCAAAGTTGAAGTCAAGCTTGTTTGGATTGGATAAATTTCATTAAAGCTGTTCTTTGAACTTTTTGATTGGAACAAAACAATAGGAACCTTTAGGAGAAGAGGTTACGTTCTTGGTTTTGTGGAAATATATTGTTTTTGTATCGTTGTCCTGGCATAAGTTGTCCAAACCTTTTTGTAGCTACTAGTTTTCTTATCTTTGTGCTAACTGAAAAGGCCTTAACTTCCTTGGCACAAGTTGATGCTTCCTTCCACTTTTTTGCATATTTATTTTTTTATCATTGAAATAGTTTCTTGTCGAATAAATAATAAAAACTTTAATGTGCATGTGAATGTATAAGCTCCATCCTAGCATATCAAGAAATCCAAACAGCTAGATTGCCACGGGCAAAATATGTAAGAACTAGCGTTTCATAAGATAGTGATATTAGATTGTTTTCTAACTTGATAGGGACAACAAATAATGAATCATTATAAGCATGCTCATAACCTTTTCGGAGGTATGAGAAAAAAAAAGCATTAATAATATAAAAAAAATTAAAAATATTGATTTCAAAATTGAAAGCCTACCGTGTTGTTAAATCCAAAGCTCTAAAGAGCACCACGGTCAATGCAGCAATCTGAAGACAAAAAAAATAAAAAATAAAAAAATTCTTTAAATGCTTGTCACTTTAATAGCATAAGTAGTAATCAAAAGATGCATCAACAACAAAGAAGGCCTTTAAATATGCACCAACAATAGGGTGGAAGAGTCAAAAGTTCCTAGGGATTAAGAAAGATGACTGTAATTCACCATTCTTATTTCTTCTTGTATGGGATGTTTTAAGCAGTTTAATTGAAAAAGAAGTATACAAAGGATTGACAGAAGGCTTCTAAGTTGGAAATCACAAGGAACATAAGTCACGTCTACAATTTGTGGATGATGTTGCCTTATTTTGTAAGAGAGGGTTGTATTGATAATTTGTTTAACACAACAAGAATTTTTAAAGTGGCTACTGGATTAAAGGTCTATTGGGGAAAATCAGCGGTGAGTGGAACTGATCTTGATTATGAGAAGATGGGGTGACGGCAACTAAATTGGGCTGCAAGATAAAAAAAACTACCAGTGTCTTATTTGGGATTACCTCTCGGGGGTAATCTAAGGAAGAAAGTGTTGTGGGAGCCAATAGTTGAAGAGGTAAACAACAAGTTAGAAAGATGGAAGAATTTTCATCTATCAAAAAATGGAAGGCTAACTCTATGTAGTTCGTTATGTCCTTTTTTATGCCAAACAAGTCATTATGGAGTTGAGAAAAAAAGTTAGAGATTCTTTTTGGTAGGGGAGTGGGGAAGGAAAGATGAAAAACCTAGTGGGATGGAAAACGGTGTCTATGTCTTTAGAAAGTGTGGGATTGGTCTTTGCAATTTAGAGAAGAAAAATAAAGCCTTTATATTTAAATGGCGGGAGGGCCCTCCGAGTTGTTGCAAGATTCATATATGTCATAATTTGATGGGGGAAGAAATGCTCCTAAGCTCTCTTATGGCTGTTGGAAAACGAACACTAGGTAGATCGGCCTTTATTTTTCCTAGTTGGGATGGGGATTATGTAAAGCTCCATTTCTCGTAGTCATTTAGCCATATTCCATACGGAACAGGGAAAGGTGTCCATTGTGAAGGCTGGTCAAGGCACATCCTACAATCACCACAGTAGGAAGGAGCGACCCTTGCTATCAACTTGATGATTGGGTGGAAAGAGACAATCTCCAAAAGGCTAAGCCGCTTGAGAGAATTTTTAGTGCATTCCAAGTATCTCCACAAGCCTTTCCAATGAAGAAAGAATCTCAGGAGTCAGCTTTTCCAACACATTTCTAATCTTGATCCAACCTCCATATGATGGAACAACAAAATCTTCAATGAGAGAGGCATCAGTCCATTGATCGATTTTTAGTTGGAAGGAACCAGCTGCACCACCCTGCCTATATACAAGGAAGGTGAGATTGGCCTTGGTCTTATTTGAATGAAGCGTTCCGTTTCCTTTTCAAGGAAAATAATATGTGATATTTGTGGCCATCAATATCTTTGTGATGTCTTCCTATTCCTTTCAGAAGAAGAAGAAGAAAAAAAATATCTAGTTTCGAATTAACATAATATAGACATAGATAACTGAATCTACCTCCTCTGAAGTACCTTCACGAGTTTCAAGAGCACGAGCTAGAGCTGAATTAATAGAACCCTCCGCACTCGTTTGGTTTCTAACATGGAAATTGTTATGTAACTGCATGTAAGCAAATATAATTGTTGGAAATCAAGTAGATACACAAAATTCATTTAGAAGAATAGGTAAAAAACTTTCTTATTGTTTTCATGTTGACTTCTCATGTACACTGTATATGTCGTATTAGGAGGTAAATTGGCTAGCTATATTTTTGTCTTTTCCTTTCCTACTTACCATATTTGCAATTCATACTTTTTATATGAGGCGTAACTCATAAGTCATATATGTGAATAAAAAATTGTATTGACTACTTTGGTTTCCATGATATCAGACATTGAGATATCTTAAAAGAATAATATGATAAGGTATTCTTTACAAAAGAAGGGAATACATACAATTTAAAGTCTTTGTTGATACAAATATATAAATTATAGATAGAACATCAACTATAGGATATTATATATTTCTTATAGGATATTATATATTTCTTAGGGATAAATTGATTTCACAGATGAGTAAGCCAAATTTAGAACTCTGGCTCAACGGGTCATCAGGTTACTATGGGTAGAGATTATTCTCAATGACTTGAAGGTCCAATGCAGTGAACTTACGAGCCTATATTGAGATGAATGAGACAGAGATTGTTATTGTTCATAATCTAGTCCAACACAATAGGATTAAGCATGTGAAGATAGACAGACATTTTATATAATATTGAGATGAATAGTATAATATAGTATAATAGAGGCATAAAAGCATACCCAAGTGACGAGGGGTTTCAGGGAGCTGGCTGTCAGTTGCTTGGCCGGTGAGATCTTCAGTAAGTGTGTTGGAAGAAGAGAAAGCAAAGCCGCCTGCAACAACAAACTAATTGTCTTCAGGACAAAAGAAATTATATATCCTGGTATTTACTCCACCACCAGAAAGTAATTAATCAGAAGAACGAGTTAGTTTCAGAATTCATTTTCAAACTAATCTTTGCTCCAAAGAAGCAAAAACTGATTTAAAAAAAAAAAAAAAAATGGGTTTCACAAGTTGGACTTCTCAATTTCCTTGGAAATTTCTATACCTCTCTAGCCAAGTCTGCAATATTGCTCTCACCACATTATGCCATAAGGTCTTGGCATTCTTTTTAAAATGGTGACGCCCAACAAAAGAATTACAAGATCCTTTAACCATCTAGGAAAGCCTAATGCTTATGCCAAGTATCCGATAAAAGCCTCCAAAACCACATCAAAAAAAGATTTTTATATTCTTTTGTATATTATGCAACTATATAGAAATTCTAAGTTATGATTTAAGAAAATAAAGTATCTTTTTTTTTTAAGGAAAAAATAAAGTATCAATATGAATGAAAACTAATACCAAAAAATAACCTATCTAAATATTTTTTAAATTAAAACAGCTAAGAACAATTGTTTCTATTTTATTGTTGACAGATATTTTAAATGAATACCCCAGCCTGAATGAGTCCTAATATTTCAAGGAAAAGATAAAAATCTAAACAAATATGAAGTAGGTCAACTTCAAAATAAAGAAAGCATGAACAAATACCCATGTAAGAACCAAAGTGGAAGATGCATCAAGCATAAAATGAAGCAAGGAGAATAAGAATGATAGCATTCGGACAACTTTATTTAAATAAACAAAATAAACAAGATTGCTCTGCAATAGTTCCATGGCGCAAATATTATCATCGCAAAAAATTAAGATGCTGACAAATTTTCTTATGTTAGGCAATAGCCATTGTTTCTAATCAAAAAGTTGCATTCTAGTCGTTGATATTGTTTGCCAATCTTACTTAATGCAAGTGATAGGTGGCTATATAAGCATGCAGTCATCACCAACATACTATGATTATCATAAATTATAAATAGCCCATAATATAATATGGCCGGCAGCTTCTTCGATGGTGTCTATACTGATGCATGTTGCTTAGATAATAATTGTTATTCTCAATTTGGAAAGATCATTATCCAAAGAAAGTCAAGTTTTTTCTATGGGAAGCAAGTCTTAAAGCCCTTAATACACAAGATAAGCTCCAACAGAGGATGCCGTTAATGAACATCTCCCCTCACTTGTGCATCCTTTGCAAACATAGCAATGAATCAAAAGGCATGTCTTTGTCACTTCCAATTTTTCATCAAGAATGTGGTACAAACTTCTACCTCTTTTTGGATGGTCGACTGCTCTCCCAAATGATAATAGCCTCCTCAGTCCTCAAAAAATACTCCTTAGCGGGTCACCAGTTTGACAAAGGAAAAAAGATTCTTTGGATGCATTTTTTTCGAGGGTTGTTTTGGTCCATTTGGATGGAAATGAATCATAAGCTCTTCCATGATAAGGAACTCCCCTTTGACCGTGTTTGTGAGTCTTTAATTATCTTGGTCATCTCTTGGCTCTTTCATCACTATAGAGCCTTTTTGTAATCCAATTGTAGAGACTTTTTGGCTCTTTCATCAATTTCATCTCACATTGTTATCCAATTGTAGAGTCTTTTTGTAATGCCATTGTATTGGGTTGTATTGCTCCTTTTGTATCTTAAATTTCATATTATCAATGAAATTATTTCTTCTTTCTTGGGGCCGCAGTGGTGCGTTCTTTGTAAGCGGGATTCCAAGGATCTTGACCATATTTACTGCCATTTTCCCAGAACATTTGGGACCGGTTCTTTGAGATATTTGAAATTGCTTGGGCTTTTCATAGAGATTGGGTGTCGATGGTGGAGGAAGTCTTGCTGTATTCTCCCTTCCGTGAGAAAGGGAGTTTCCTTTGGCGGGTCGGGTTTTTTGGGATCCTGTGGGGCATTTGGGGGGAAAGAAACAATAGAATCTTTAAGGGGGTGGAAAGGGAGTGAGAGTTTGTTTGGGACCTCGTTAGGTTTAATGTCTCTTTATGGGGGTCTGTTTCGAATTTATTCTGTAATTATCAGCTAGGTCATATTCTTTTGGATTGGAAGCCCTTTCTCTAGGCTGGCTTCCTTTTTCGAGGCTGTGTTTTTGTATGCTCGTGTAATTCTGTTTTGTTTTCATTCTTCTCAATGAAAATTTCGGTTTCTTATCCAAAAAAAAAAAAATCAATGAAATTGTTTCTTCTAAAAAAATAATAATAATCATTGTTATTCTCCACAATGAAAAACCTGAATAAGAGGATCATCACAAGCTTGGTCAATTAATCTCCCCCGTCCGAGTAAACAAAGCAAATGAACCTTATGCACTAACTCAGCAATTTCCTGCCAAAGACAGAATTAAGCTTAAAATTTAAGCACATTAAGGATCTGTAGTAAGATGAGATACCGTGTCAAGAGCAATGAAGAAAATAATTTCACCTTATCAGCAGCAGAAGCTCGACGAATAGGTTTCCTCCTGGTAGAGTCAGGGGCCTGCTCCATCTCACTGAATTCGATAGTCATTGGGTCAGACTTTGTCCCATCCAACGTGTGAACAGAACCATCTTCCCAATCTGAATCGTCCAAATCTTCTGATATTTGAGATACAGGATACTGCATATTTGCTTCATCAACGTTAACCTCCCTCGAAGAGTCCACTATTACATTTTCATTGCACCTTCCAGCCTCTAATATCACCTTCTTGTCCATAACAGGCTTTACATCTGTCCCAACTTTACATGTTGGCTATCAAAAAGACAAACAGATCCTTTTTTAACAAAATGTTGTTTTATTAACCAACAAACATGCATTGTCAGCTATAGTTCTACTACGATTTAAAAGAGATGTCACTACTTCAAAGTACAAATATTTAATAGATCTAAATCAACTGGATAAACTTTGCTGACCAAATCACATGGACGCAGAGCAGGTTTCTTTGTCCCTGACAAGCAACGCCCAGTTGCACGTCTAAGAAGCTTGTCCACAGCCAACCTTGAAACATTGGCTAAAGTTCCTAAAGACAAAAATATAAAAGATCAGGCACATCCGGTAAGAATAATATTTCAAAGAATAAAATGAATTGGTAAGTTATGGGGCAAAGGACACGCACCTTTTTCAGCGCTGGACTGTGAACAGCTTCCTCCTGAATCTAGTACTGCCTCACCAGCATTTTCTATACCTATCCAAACAAACTCCTTAATATTGTAAGAGCTAGCCAGCAATAAACACTTCATTCCAAAAGCATTTATTTCAACTACAGTTCCAACTTCTATTGTTTGTTCTCAACTAATCCACTCGTCCTTGTTATGTCTATGTGCTTGGTTTGATTAAAACTTGAAGTTTGCAATGTGCAACTATTTAAGAAAGAGGATTAAGATTTCTTGTAATTCTGTCGATATCTATTTCTTTGTTTGTGTTGTCATGCTAGGATTTATAGTTTTAAAAAGATGGGTACGTTGCATGTGCCACTTTATTTGTCCAGCTATCTAATTCTTTCAATCACCCATCTATCATGTCAAATCAACCAACATTTGTCCAACGAGTCCTATCATCATTTACTTTAATTCTTTCAATCACCCATCTATCATGTCAAATTAACCAATATTTGTCCAAGAGACAAGTCATATCATCATTTACTTGATGGTGACTACAGTATAATCACAATTAAACGTTCAATAAGACAGCAACATAATTGAAGATTGTTTAATTTTAGGGACTAAATGAACACCACCTTAGAAGTTCATAAACAAAATTTGTAATTTAACCTCAAAATAATACAGTCGTCAAAGTTCATACACTAAATTTGGAATTTAACCTCAAAATAAACTATTCTACTTTCTTTAATAAGTCCCACTTTTTTTGGGGTAGCTTTTAGGGAAGTCTCGTGTCATATGGATTAATATCGCCAGTGTCACGACTCTAATGGCTCGAGAGACATAGGACATTTGAAGGGATATCTACAAACATTGTTGAGGAGAAGGGTCGTGTATTAGAGGAAGTTTATACAATCTCTTCTGGCTTTAGTTGCCCATGACCCCACCCCCTTCTACCTCGTAATTTTGCGTTATGGATACATTTCTGTTTTCTTCTTATTCAAGAAGCAAAAGTTTTTAATGGGGTTCTCAAACTCCAACCAAAAACCACCCCGAGAAACAGAAGGGTCATTTTCCAGCAACAATTTCATAGCACAGGAGGAAAAGAAACGAGGGAATTTTCAGAACAAGCCTGTCGGTTCCCAATTTCCTATCAGATGGAGGCATAAATCACCAGTGTAAACTACATGTGCCTTCTGTTCTCCTAAACAGCGGAATGAAGAAAGGTGGAGTAAATAAAACCTACCTGAAGATTTTTTGGGTCGCTGTGACTGTTTTCTGCCTCGCATTTTCTCTCCGTCTGTTCCAGTTCGCCAGGGAAAACCGCTCACTTTCAGGCGCGCGCTCTGAGTTATGAGTTTATGGGAACTGTGATGAAATTGAACACCAAGCTCTCGTCTTTGATACGAGGGCGAACATACCTTCTCTGATTACGCCAACCAGTTTTTTTTTTCCCTTTCTTTTCTTTTCTCTTTCTGCCGCATTTAATAATTTTCCCCGAATTACGGGCACCAATGCCATGTTGAAAGCTTTCAATTAAAAAGTAGAATTTTGGGATTTTTTTAGTACGTTCTTTAATGAAAATAAGTTCGTTTGTAATACAAAATATTAATTTCAATGGTAAATGTTGAAGCAAGATTTTACAAGATATGCACCGGCGCAGTGGCCTGTACTTCAAATTTCAAGTTAAAACTTAGTTCGAATGATTGTTGAATCAAATTTAGTTGATTGTATAGAAAATGCATACATTTAAAAACAGAGTACTTCTTTTGTGAGGGAGATTTTTAAAACGTGGCGTCGAAGCTATAGCATCTCAAATCTGGCATTAGCAAATTTTCTACATTTTTCATGATACTGATATGTCCGAGCTAGGTTTTTGAACAAGGGGTCAAGTAGTAAGCTTTAAACCTACCTATAACATAACCTTTTAATTTCTTCCTATAATATTTTATTACGAGAGATGGAAACTTACAACTCATAGAAAATACATAGATGTTAATCAATTTTTACCGTGCATTATTGGAAGTATTATTAATTGATAGGTTCAATTTTTTAAAATCACAAATTGCAATGTCAATATTTTTGGAGCATAGCATAAATTATTTTTATCACTTTCTTAAACTATTTGTATTTTATTGTGAAATACTATGACATGTTTAGAAGTTATTTTGTCGATCACCAAAATCATATTTTTCATTATTTTATTTAAAATTTTAATATTTAATGATTATATATAAGTGATTTTAGAAAATAGTAAAATAGCTAAAATTACTCCAAAATACACCGTCAAAGTGAAATTGATATATCTTTTAATTTAAGCACGTTTTTTCCTTTTTTTCTTGGAAAAAATAACACTTTAGATTCCTAAAGTTGTGTCAATTTAGTCATTAAATTTCAAAATAAACTCTTTTAGTCCCTAAAATTTAAAAATTTATTCTAAATAGTCCCTAAGTTTAATTCACTTAATTAAAAATGCCATGGAAATGACTTGGGACTTTTTTAATTTACTTTTTTTATTGAGTTAAAAAAATATTAATTTTAAACAATTTAATTAATTTTTATTCCTTTTTTTTATCTATTAATCTTCTTCTCTCTTTCCCCTACTTACAAAGAATTTAATCTCCAAATTAATTTGTAACAATTTAATTTCTTAAATTCAAATTGATGACAATTTAGTTATTGAATTGCAACAATCTAGTCATTGTAATTTAAAGTTAACAATTAAGTTAACAATTTAATCCTTATCATTGTAAATTTAAATAAAATTTTTTTATGATCGAGACTAAATTGTAACAAGTTCTAAACTAAATACTAAATCATTACAAACTAATTTAGAGATTAAATGTGATTTTTAACATTTTTTTATCTTCTCTCATTTTAGGAATAAGAAAACTTTAGAAAGAATGAGAGAAAAATATCCATAGTATTGCATAAGAGAGAAAAGGAGAAGAATGAAAAAAGAGAAGAAAAGAAGGGAGAGAAAACGAAGAAAAATCGGTTAATGAAAATTGAGAGAGAAGAAAAAAATCTAGAAAAAGAGAAGGAAAATGAAAACGGAGAGAGAGAACATATAATTTAAAATAGAGAGACAACGGAGGAGCCCTGGAAAGAAAAGAGACCTGGACAGTCATTTGGCAATTGGCAATTGGCAATGGACTCACATTAGCCCGAAACCCCGTTTGTTTACGTTAAAACTTCAGGTTCGTTTAGTTTTTTCAATGAGTAAAAAATTAAATTATTTTGTTTAGTTGGACTAGAAAATTCTTTAGGAATGACTAGTTTCTCTTTCGACACAATCAATTCTTCGGTTATATTTGCATTTCGATGCATCATTCATCTCTGTATTACAGTTTCATGCGACACATTTGAAACAATCGAAAACCATCTCACTTTTCCAAATCGTTTGATTCTCCCAATTTTTCCAATACACTTTTGATAACTACTGCGAAAAGAAAACAGAAGCTTTTTTCAGAACGATTTCGCAAACAGTTTGACAGTTCAGAAAGACTATGATCAATAGAATGAAAGGAGTCAAACGATGAACAATTGCTCTCAGAAAAGGCCAAAGTTTTCCACATGCGAAAGCTCGAAGCTGGTAAACCCTAAAACGTTTAAGCTCAGAAAAAAAACCGACTTCAAATGATTGGCATTCCCTTCATCTTCCTCCTAAAAGAAGAGGAAACGAAAGACAATTCCTCTAATCATAGAAGGGAGAGTCCTCAAGCGAAAACCAAGCACAAGAAGAAGATCTTCTCAAAAGCTTAAATGAATGAGGATCACGACACAGCCTCAGCTCGCTTCGGTGTGGTTAAAGCAAAAAACAATCATCATCGAGCAAATCAACTTCACAGTACCAGAGGAAAAAAAGGAATCAATTAAGAAATCGAGATCGGATTACTCAATCGATCCGCTTGGCGAGTGATTCGAGAACGAGAAAGCTGTGGAACCAACGAGAAAAGGCAAGAACCCTAATAGGTCGGCGCTGCCTGTCCATGTAGTGCCGCATTGAACTGAAATCGATTTCGCATCTTTTCGTACTCCCGATGCCATGGATAAAGAGGCAGAGAGAGTCATAGTCGATGCTTTGAATTAAGAAACTGAAACGAAGAATTACAACCAAATGAAAGAAATAAATGGCGGAAACATGGCGATTACTGTAGATGGACGAAGGCTGATTTGCAAGATCGGCGAAGACGATGGCATGTATTTATAGCGGGATGAAATTAGGGTTCGTTCTCTGACGTATCTCGCGATGCTAAACTTGACCCAGTCAACTGACGAAATTTTGGGAAAGTTTTTTAAATAAAAATGTAATTTTTAATATTAATAATGATTTAAAAGGAAATAATAAAAAAATATTTATTTATTTTGAGTTTTAACAGATTTGAACCTTCTACCTATGCCTTTACCAGGCGGATTTTTTTTTTGAGATATCTAATACTTCAAAAATGGTCGTACTTTACTATAATTTATTTTATTGTATGCATTTTTTTTTCAATGGATTAAATTATATATAATGGACTCCAACTCTATTGTTTTCCATTTTTTATCTTTTTTAGTTCAACCCGTGTGAGTGAGGATCCAAACCTCCAACTTGACTAATCTTATAAAGTATCACATTAACATTTGATTTTTATCCTACACATTTTTTTAGTACAATGACATGAAATACGAGAAATCGAACTTCCATGGATAACAATATGTGAGAGTGAAGACTCAAACCTTCAACTTGACTAATTTGATAAAGTATTATTAGCATTTTATTATCCAATATTAACTCTAACAACTAATTCAAAAATGTTACATCAGTTTCAGATTACATGAATTTATAATTTAACCAAAGAATAATAATAAAGCCCTGATTTCCAAAGCAGAAGGAAAAAATGTTACATCAGTTTCAGTTTAGAAGAGCTAATAACAATAGCCTAATACAATTCCAATTCTCCACAACTCCATCTTGGCTTGTACAAAATTGAATGGAAGGAGAGAGAATAGCCTAAAACTAACCAGATCACCACTCTGCGAGAGAGAACATAACTCACCCCACTAATGGATCATCCAAAAGAAAAAAGAAAAAAAAAAAAAAAAAAGAAGCAAAAATTGCAAAAGCACTTCTAATGCACATCTTCTCTACAACCAAATGGAAGTTCCAAGCAGAGCTCCAACCATCATAACTGCGCAACTCAAAATATTATGCCCAAGATCGCTTGCAGAAGATTCTGAATTTGTGGAGTTCATTGATGGGGCTGTGATGTTTGCCATGGTGCCATTCCTCCCGACACTGTAAAAATTAGTAATTTAGATGTTTGATTCTACACCTTTGAAAGTGTTTTTAAGTACTTTTCTAACAATCACTTTGGTCAAAAGCATTCTAAGTGCTAACTTTTTCCAAAAGTACTAATAAATCACTACCAATCCGCTTCTAAATATAATTCTTTTGAGTGGGAAGTGGTTTTGATCGTGGCAAGAGTACTCCATTAAATTCATTTAATCACTACTGTACCTAAATACTTAAGATCGGACTCTATCAATTGGGAAAAAAGATGAGATTATTATGTATATTGCAGAATWGATAAGCTAGAGTGTGTTTAATCTTTTTCATAATTTCTTAAAAGGTCTGTTCATGAGGTTTACCTTTCTGAAAAAGAGCAGGATCCATGGCCTGCATTCATCAAGACAACAGAAAACAAAGTTAGCAAGCTCTAAAGATATGCAGAAGAACAACATCAGGAGAAGAAAAAACAAGAGAAGTGATGAATTCTGCTAGATGTTCTCTTACTTGGATTTGAGGTTGTAACTGCAGCCACCCCATTGAAGTCACATGAACCCGATGCCTTCCCCATTTGATGATAATAAGTATTGAAAGCGTATGATGCATGAGCCATCACATTGTCAGGTTCGTAGCATGGCTGCCCTTGAAGCAAAGCTGAACAATCCACCCTGCCAGGTCCACATGCCCAATCCAATGCAGCCTGCAGCATCTTTGGGTCAGCACCATCTTTTGCAGAACAGTACGTCGGGTTCATCGTATCATTGGCTAACACAAGTCCTGACCCTGTCAAGCGCAGAATGTATATAGGCCTTCCACTTGCATCAAACAATCCCCAATTCTTCTCTGAGATTGGCCCAGGTTTCATGTCCTCATTATAGAGCTCATAAATGTAAGTACTAACAGCAATCCCTGGATGCTTAGGAGTTCCAGTTTTGTTCAGCACATGCCTAATTAAGTTGCTATTGTAAGTGTTTGCATTTTCCAAGGTCGCATCTGGCTCATTAGAGCCACCTTTTGATGGCCAGCCAGTTTCTGAAACTACAATGGGTATGTTAGTGAAATTAAGAGAAGCCATGGCAGAGTAGGCAGCATCAACCATAGCATCAAAAACATTGGAGTATCGAAGAAGCGTGTTGGAATCAACCGCTTCTTTGTTCGAAGGGAGAGGCTTTAAGAGTGCATAATCCAACAAAATAAAGCCATCAGATTGCATATAGTCATAGTAGGGATACACATTGAGCATAAGGAAGGAGTTGGTGGACTGCAAGAAACCAAGCAGGGGGACTATCACAGAACTCAACGACGAGTTGAAGAACGCTTGAGAAGGTGGGAATGAATCGAGAATAATTGAAGAAGAAAGAGGCGTAGAGACCTTGATCTGGTGGTCAAGGTTGGCTGCAACAAGAGCTGAGTGAATGTACTTCAGGGCATTAACAAGAATTTTAGCTGCATTAGGAAGAGTTGTTAGAACCTCAGAGCCAACAGAAATGGCCGTGATGTTAGTAGCTGGGTAATGTGCTATGACATTGTGATTAACCCAGTTAGCTGCAGTGGCGTTTGATTGGCCAATCCCTAAAATCTGTTCATTGGGGACAGTTACCATAACTTGAATGCCTGTGTTCGCAAGGGCCATCAGCATTGCACCATCGGCCTCGTATAATCGAACATGTCGAATCTGTTGGGCTTTCAGAAGGGTCACCACTTGTGTCGGGTGAGGCATAACTGAAAGATCAGTTCCTATATTCACACCAACAAATACATCTGCAAAAACAAAAATTACATTATGGTGGCGACCCATTAATCACATGTCAGGAGATTCCTAACACATACTTAAACTTTTATGTTCAGCATCCGAACAGAGGCCCCATACAAATTTCTCAAACTACAATTGAGAAAGTGTCAAGAATATAAAATTAAATATACCCTCTACTATTAGTTTAAGTTTTTGGGTTTAGATTAGACTATTAGTTTATTACATACACAGCTGAAGCTCCAGAGTTTAGAATAAATGCAGTAAACTTTGACCATCCATCCAGAGTCCATTAATGAGAGAGCAGCAATTATAAACTACCCATCCAACTACCTCTCTTGGGCATTTAATTAAACACCTGACCCGCAACCCACAGAAATTCAAACCCATTCAATGAAGTTTTTTTCCGTCTCCTTCTTTTCGTTTTTTTCTTTCTGGGTTCCTTAAATTTCTCTTGGAAATGAAAATGAACTTCAATACAGCCACGGAAATCACATTCGCCAAAGTGAAAACAGAACATTAAAGAAAAGCAGCCATCGAAAACAACAAGAACAATGACTAGTAAACGGCAAAGCCCATCAGAAAAAAACTCAGATTCGGCCGAAATAAATCAAACAAACAGCGAAAATCATATCTCAAACCTTCAGCGGTTGCCTGAAGAGACAAAAGAGAGAAAACCATGAGGAGAAATGAAACACCCATTTGATACTCCATAGCCCTCAGCGCCTTGCTTCACAGGGAGGCACCAGAGGAGCTTAAAGAACCCAAAACTGGAAAAGAGAGGGGGAATCAGTGAAGGACAGAATGAGTGTGACCAAGTTAAAACCAGGGGAAAGCAACCGGGAAAAAGCAGGAAAAAGAGATGCAGGAATTAGGAATATATGGGCAAGAGAGAGAGAGGTGGGGACCGGGGGACCCACATTTCACGTGGACTCTGATCAGATGAATCGGACGGTTAAAATCTGACGAAGGCCATGCAGTGGCCGCTGTAAGAGGAAAAAACCAGCGGGGGTAAAAAAGTAAAAACGTGTTGTTCTAGGCTTCGGCTTTCTGTTGTTCTCCGTGTATTAGCCGTTAGTCATTGTATCAGATTCTTGGAGCCAATAAAAAGGAGGGAAAGTGGGCCCTCTTTTTTGTGAAACAAACAAAAGATACTATTGGCCCTTTATCCTTAGAAAAAAAAACAGCTGGTTACAACGGTCATATATTTATTTATTTGTTGGGTTAAAATATTATTTTGACCTACTTTTTTAACTTTGATTCATTTGAGTTATTTTGATTATTTTATTTTTAATTTTTGTTCATTTTAATTTTTATATTTTCAAAGTGCTTGTTTTGATTCTCTTACTTTTAAAAAATAACATTTTGGTTCTTATTGGTAACATTTTAACATGCATTCTTCACCAAACAAAAACCATTTAATATAAAGTCTCATAACTACATCTCAACAAATATATTGTATTAAAATTGTAATAGAAAAAAATAAAATTAGGAGACCAAAATAGTCATTTTCTTTTATAAAGTACAGAGACCAAAATAAATATTTTGGATAATTGTTTTTTTTTTTAGAGTCTGACCTTTTTTCCCCTCAGAAATGATGCGAAAAGTATTCCTCAGATTTGCTTAAACGGTGATTTGATTACCTCCATGTTTTTTGGCTCTTAACGCACCAATCATCATGGGTTTGAATTATTGGCCAGAAAAATATTTTTCTTTTGACCTTTCCTCTTTTGACTTGTGAGTGGCATGAAAATTATATATTGAATCAACAATCAAAAGTTAGTACTAAAACTAATCCGAGCACTGTATCCTATTCAAGTTTGAAAAGAAGTTTAAAGTAGAGCTTCGAGTGAGTAGCATACGGGAATCGTGACATTGAAGAAATTTTATAGCATGCACGTTGTAAGAATAAAGAGAAGAAATGTGTGTGCTTGAACGGTGAATGAATTAATGGTGTATCCAAAGTATAATCGAATAAGACACATTTAGGCTAAGAAGGTTATGAATGACTTGTAAAGGTTTTGGGCAGCGAAATAATGAACTTTATTGTTTTAGCTTAATCAAATAGTAGAGTATGATAAGACAAAACATAACTTGATTTTGATTTTGATTGTGAGATAGATTTGTCCAAATTGAATGAAGTGTGGGCCAAAAAAACATAGAATCATGATTATATATATCACATTGTGTTGGGTAGTAAATTTTGATTGAACGAATAGTTTGAAAAGGTGGTAACCCTCATCACACACTTATAAAGGAATTATGGAATGGATCCTTAGTTACAATTGTATTGGACGAATTCTTTTAGGAGTATGAATATGGTTATGCACTAGAGAGCTAAGATTAGAAGAAAAATCACAAGTCAAAATAGTGGGTGGGTTGGAATTTTGTTTTGGAATTTTAATTATCTTTATATTAATTATTAGTGCTCGAATAATATACTTGGGCCTCGAGGTACCCCACTATGAGGTCTCAAACTTCGAGCACTGTACTGATAATAGTGTTGCTCAGTCAATGAGCCTTGATTATAGGGATCCACTAGCATAAGCTACACAACATCGATTTCGAGAAATAAACAAAAATATATACTCCATTTTTAAAATAAATGAGTTTTGATATTTGATTTGGATGGTGGATTTAAGTTCAAATAGACTGAACAACTTAATTACAGGTGCTACCCCTCTTTACTTGTTTTTTTTTTAATTAATGTTTTTTATTCTACTATATGAATTTGTGAGGTGCAGCCTAACCCAATGGTAATTGGCACTTGTCTTTGATCATAATAGTCATAAGTTCGAATTCCCCTATCACTTATTGTACTAAAAAGAAAAAAGAATTTGAGAGGTGCGTGTTTGCATTCTTTAAGAGCCGTTTTTTTCTTATTATTGTTATTGTCGTGGTCTTTATACTCTACAATGGAATCAAAGTCCCGTGAACTTTTTTTAGAAAAGATGTTGGAAGGCATGTGTGGTTAAGCAAAAGAAAAAAAAAATTGTTAAAAGGAAAAATGACAATCATCGGTCAATATATAAAATATTTAGTAGTAAATTAAAGCCAAAACTTGCTTATGAATGATTTGAGCATGTTACCGTAGAAGGCAGTGACTAAACAAAAGGGGAAATGTATGAAATTTCTTACAACATTATTATAAGTAATTACATATTCAACATTAGACCATGTTTAAAAAATGTCACAAGGAGATATTTTTTGAAGTTTTTAAAATGTCACTGTATCGCCCATAAAAAAAAAAGAAAGAAGATAGTAAATATGACGGTTAATAAGAAACTGTCATTAATTAATTAATTATGATGGTTAAAAAATGTATTTTACATTAAGTTGATAAAGAAAATTCCAATTCTAAGGTATGGGCAAAATTTGAGCAGCATCTTACAAAGTTGGTATCTACATAAAAGATAATTCTCTTTGGCTTTTGAATGGATGAATAAAGATGGACATGAATACTTTGATGATTTCAACAAGATGTATCGTTGGACTTGCCGATATTAGTGAGAAAATGAGCGCAAAAGATCTAGTTGTTATTTTGTTGAATTTTTTACTTGAATCATTTCAAAGAAGTAAAGTTTGCAATCATGTATGGGAAAACTTATTTAGTAGAGTATTAATTAAGATTTTAAATATTAAGGTGGGCAGAAATGTTAATGTCTTAATTTTATAGAAATATTTATGAAAATATCGATGAAATGTCAATATTTATTGTTGGGAGGCTGGAATGTTGACCATGCGAGCCGAACACTCACCCAAAAAACAATCCAGGCCAAGTTAATAGGTCGAGAAGGAAGCCTTGGGCTCCTGTGTCAGCCCCTAGGTCGAACCGTTTCAAATGACACATCAAGTGAAACCTACCCACAAAATAGTGGAATAGACCGATGTGTGATAGGAAACCATCCATTCACCCACTATAAATACACTTTCACTCCACTCAATCAGGTATGCAATTTCTGTCTAAAGTTGATCTGCCCAACTCGAACTTAGACTAACTTGAGCGTCGGAGTGATCTACCTATTTTTGCATGTCTCCCCCTTTCAGCTTGTTCAGCGTCAGCTCGCCCGAGAGATCTTCCCTCTCAAGCTCGCTATATTTTAGTTCCCTAGACAGACTTTTCCTACCAGCTCGCTAGGACCCAACAGGTAGCTCTACGATATATTTTTACATCAGCATTTATATATATATTTTTTGTTGAAAAATCATAAACATCAAGAAAGGTGAATTAAAGAAGGGCCCGATTAGTAAGTTTTGCCAAAAAAAAATTTATTAGTGGTGTAGTTAGAGTGAATTTGTCATACCTACTAATTAAACAAATATTTTTAAAGTTTCTTTTTTTTTTGTTTTTTGTAAAAATAGCTTTAATTAAAATAATTATGTTTCGTTATATTTTATTATTTTTTAAAAATTGATTTTGGTAATTAGTTTGTATAGTTATACTATATCTAAAGATGATTTCCCGTAAAATTAAAATGATTATAGGGTGACTTTCGGTCCATCACTTTTGATTTTAGAACAACTTTTTAGATAATGAACATACATACGTCTTTTTTTTTCTACAAGGAAAACATACGGATGATTTTAAGCCTAGGTTAGTTTTAGAACCGCATAACACATTTTATTTTCTTAAAAAAAAAAGCACATATTTTAAAATATTTTTATGACTAAATATATTGTCTGATCTTGAAGTATGTTATTTTCAATTTATTTTCTATTGTTTAAAAGCTTTTTTTTTCCTTCTTTAAACATTTTATCTTTTAACATATTTTAATTTAGTCTTGTTGTTATATAGATTTGTGACCTGGACCGATTTTTTTCTAAAAGGAGAAAAATGGAGTCGCCACTGATCTTTGTTTATAGGATGTGATTGGACATACAAATGAATGATTATAAGTCATTTACATTATATCTCATATTATTTTCAAGAAAATGACCTTTAAAGAAAAAAAATTTTATTTTTATTTTAAATGTCTCACGTTACTCTGATAAGACAAATAATGAATAATAATTCTGGTCTAAAGCCATTAAAATTTTTTAGTTATTTGAATTTAATTGGGCCTTCCAAAATAAATTCATCAAGAATATTAAGGGAGTCAACCTCTCGAATTTCTCGATTTTAAGAAAATATTAAAGAAAAAGATTTTATTGGTTAACTACCGGAGGAAACGTGTTTACAGAAAAGTTTTCTTATAATTTAAATGTTTTTTTACAACAAAATTTTTCTTAACAAAGAAGAATTACAGATAAGATACATCTTTTATTTTATTTTTTCTAAAAGATGTTTAATTGCTTAGAAAGGTAATTTTTTTTTTTAGGAATTTGTAAATTATTTTTTCAAGCAAAATATGAGGATAATATCGGTTTAAATTACACTTTTTTATTTAGGAAACATATTAAAAATATATTGATTTTACCCTCAAGAATCCAAGAAAATCGATCTCTCAAAGTTCCATCGTCCCTTTGGAAAAATTTGAGTTAAAATCTTTGATAAAAATTTAATACAAAATCTCCACCAAATAATATTACAATGAAATTGACAAAATATATAATCATTTATTATATGCGTAATCTAGATAAACATCAAATATCATGTTACAAGAAACAATAATATAAAATTAACAACAGGAATACAGGAAGAAAAAAGCAAGATAAAATAAAACAGGGGAAGGAACGTATCCTTAAAGTAATGTTGGTAGGAAAAAATAATATATGAAAAAATATAGCAACTTACTTTATTCTCATTCAATAACAACATGGAAATTAATAGACTGAGAAAAAACTCCGATTTTTATCTTTTATTCACTCGTGGTGCTAGTAGAAAATTTAGTGAAAATTAGTGGAAGAGAGAAACTATTGAGAAAGATATTTGAGGGGAGACCAAAGACATGAGAGAAAAAAAAACTTTTAAAGAAGAAAAACAAAAAAAAGAGAGAAGACAAAGAAGAAAGAGAGTAACATAGAGAAAAGAAAACCAAGAAAAAAAAAGATATGTTGAANAAAAAAAGAGAGACAGTGAGAAGGAGACGAGAGTAAAATAAAATTGGGAAAGAAATTGTAATTTTCTCCTTATGTGTTCCTTGTGATCTCTTCCCTTACCTTTAAATCAAATGGGAAAAATATTTTTGTTAATTATACCATCAATTAAATCTTTTAACTTTAAAAAATTTATTAAAAATGTTGATTTTTAAATCAAATTTAAATGGGTAAGATTTTATTTTATTTTATTTTTATTGTAAATATTTTATTTTAAGAAATCATGGAAATTCATATTTAATCAATTTTTTAATTTTATTAAAAAGATTTAATTTTGAAAAAAATAAAGAAATCGATATTGAAATCAAATACTTTTTTATTCTATTTTTATTTTCATTTCATAAAACACACAAATGAAAAAATATTTAACATAGAGTATAAACAAAAAATTCTAAAAAAAAATTACTTCAAATCAAATAAAAAAAAACAATGAAATTGAATACAGACGAATTTAGAGGTTTTATAAGTCATTCAAAATTATGGTGAATGTTAAAATTGACTTATAATAAACATAAGTCGTAAAATGTTCAGTGAATGAGTGAAAAGTTAGAGTAAAAAAAATTTATCAATATTAAAGAATTCTATATAAAAAGAAAAAGACTCAGGGAGGAATTGGTGAAAAAACACGCTAGTGAACAAATTTAGCCTATTTCTAAATAATAATAAAACTATTTCTTTCAAAATTTCCAAACAAAACCCATTGTTCAGCATTTTCGATTGAAACTAATTTCTTCTGCTCTTTCGTAACTAGCTCAGCTCACATATGAAGAATAGATTATTTTTTTTCTGAAAATTCTATGGATTGGCTCGTAAAATTTTCATAGATATTCTCCAGATTCTCCAATTGCTCTAAAATCATGGCGTTACTTCGCCAAAAACTACCATCATTTGTTCTCTCATCGTCCAACAATTCCCTCCGCTCATCCATACGAAAACTAAACTCAATTTCAGCTGAACTTATCAACGATGATGCTACTGTTAATTCAATTTGCGACTCATTCAGAAGACGCGAAAGCTGGGACACTCTTACTCGAAATTTCGAGATGCTCGAACTGAACGATTTCTTGGTTCAGAAAGTTTTGCTTAACTTCCAGCAACCTGTTGATGCCGAACGAGCTCTGGGGTTCTTCCACTGGTCGGCCAAGAGGAAGAATTTCAGTCATGGGCCTCGACCTTACTGTATTATGGTTCACATTTTAGTAAAAGCGCGGCTGGTGATCGATGCCCGGGCTTTGCTGGAGTCAATTTTGAAGAAAAATGAGGGCAACTCTTTCTATTTCTCTGTTGTGGATTCGCTACTGGATACTTATGAGGTGACTTCTTCATCCCCTTTAGTGTTCGATCTATTGGTTCAGATTTGTGCTAAATTGAGATTGATTGACTTTGCTTTGAGTGTGTGTTCCCATTTGGAGGGACGTGGTTTCTCGTTGAGTCTGATTAGTTTCAACACTTTGATTCATGTTGTGGAAAAATCTGACGAGAATCATAAGGTGTGGAAGATTTATGAGCAAATGATTCAGAAAAGAGTTTACCCAAACGTAGTTACTGTTAGAATCATGGTCAGTTCGTTGTGCAAGGAGGGTAAATTGCAAGAAACTTCTGATATGTTGAATATAATCCATGGGAGTCGTTGCTCTCCTTCTTTGATTGTCAATGCTTGTTTAATTTACAGGATTTTGGAGGAGGGAAGAGTTGATGATGGTATAATGTTGTTGAAGAGGATGTTGCTGAAAAATATGGTTCTTGATGACATTGCTTATTCRCTAATTGTTTATGCTAAAGTAAAACAGGGGAACATAACTTCTGCATGGGAAGTGTTTGAGGAAATGTCTAAAAGAGGATTTCAGGCAAATTCTTTCATTTATACCTTGTTCATAGGTGCACATTGTAGAGAGGGAAAGATTGAAGAAGCTAATAGCTTGATGCAAGAGATGGAAAACATGGGTTTGAAGCCATATCCTGAGACCTTCAATCTTCTCATTGAAGGGTGTGCTACAGCAGGAAATGCAGAAGAAAGCTTGAGAATGTGYGAGAGAATGTTGGAAAGAGGGTTTCTTCCCAGTTGTTCAGCTTTCAATGTGGCAACAGCCAAAGTTTTTGAGGGAGGAGATTTGGAAAAGGCTAATGCAATGTTGACCATTTTATTAGATAACGGGTTTTCACCTGATGAAACCACTTACACCAATCTTATCGTGGGATATGGGAAAAAGGGTGAAATTCAAGAAATTCTTAAGCTTTTCAATGAAATGGAAGCCAGATTACTGTCTCCTGGAGTGTCAGTTTTCTTGGCACTCATTGCGAGCTTCTGCCAATCTGGGAAACTGGTGGAAGCAGAGAAATATTTGAAGGTTATGAAAGATCGTTCGTTAGCACCAAGTGTATGTATATATCAAACGTTAATCTTGTTCTACTTGAGGAAGGGTAATAGAGCTAAGGCTCTACAACTTTATAATGAGATGATGTTTAAAGGATAAAAGATCATTTGTGTTTGAAGCATGTGCAGGCGTTGACGTGGAACTGAACTGACACGCTAATATGGATTCTCATCTCTGACAGAGTCAGTATGCATTCAAAAGAGTTACTCATTCTGAAGGTAATTATTGGTGTCTTTTATTTACTTTTTCACTTATTTTTACTAAGAAAGAAACCAATTCTCTTATAAACTCAACACTTAAAAGTAAATAATTAACTTGTAATTTAGCCAGGTGGAACTTTTATCTTCCAGAAACCAGTGGTCATACTTYCTATTGGTTCATTGGCTGCATGTGCTAATTCTTGAGGCTACTTTTTTGCATTTCAGTCGGTACATAAATGAAATTATTTCGTCGGGAGCTATGGCTTTTCCCGATGAAATGAAATGTGTCTGGAAAAATTTTCATTGGGAAAGAGGTAAATYGTTGTAGTGCATGTTGCTTCTCTCTTTTGTCGATGAGAAACTTTTCGGTTAGCTTCTCTGGTGCTGTTTCCAATGAATTCTTCGGTTAGTTTTCTTTTCACATTTCAGCTCCACCTCTAATGGGATCTTAGAGATATAAGGTAAGATCTCGCATGTGGTAGAGTGTACCTTTAGGGTTGAAGTTGAAAGGAAGATACAGAGCTCCACTATTGAGGAAAAGCAGGGATAATTAATTCTATGTCTTGAATGGATCTCGCGTTTATAGAAACTTTAGAAGTGAAAATCTTAATTTCCTTTCTCAACCATCAAAGATTTAAGTGATAACTGCTTAGTTTTGATTGGAAAGTAGTGTTGATGATTCCCATAAGAAGAGATGGTGGTAAGACTAAGATGCAGTGATAATAATACCATTTTGGAGTAATTGGATAAATAAAACCAAACATTCAAACATTCAAAACACAACAAATCCGAACAATGATCTCTCTCTTCACACCATTCTTACTAGTCTCTCTTTAGGCATACAATTTCTCTTACTCATTTCTCTCAACAAAAACGATTTGATGAAATATATTAATTTTATATTCTAATTATCTTACGTGGTTCTCTCTCTACCCCTGTCCCATTCTCTCTCTTCTGAGGTTTCCTTACACTCCTTACACTTCTATTTTCTTTTTCTTCTTTAGGGCCACCATTATTCTCTAAATTTGTGCATAAGCATTAACAAGAAGAGTTTGAAATGACATTGTTTTAATAGATTAACTAACTTAAAATTAAAAGTTTCATTTACTTCACTCATTTCCAACTGGGGGTGCTTCATGTAACCCTGTCTTTTCTTTTGTAACTTAATTAAGCATCAATGAAATTGTTTCTTTTGAAAGGTTTCATTTTTATTAGTTAAAAAATTGTGGAGTGGAAGATAAAATGATCGACTGAAACTCTTATTCGGTTTCATTCACTGAGCTCCAATGGGCAAGTTCTATTAACAGAGATTTGTATATATAAATTATAACTTCAATCCAACAAGCAAAGCCAACCTATATAATTGATATGAAAATTTTGAGATCCAAGTACACGCTGTCCCACATAACTTGTTTTATCCAAATAAGATCGTCGTGAAAATTTGACCCCATCTGACATAAAGTAGCAAAATGTTGTCCAATGCATAATGATTAATTCGTACACTAAATTCCATTGCAACAGGAAGGAATCATCAAAATGTCTCCTTTCAAGGTTCAACCCGCCAAACGGGAGTGTCTTTCCACGGCTGAGGGGGAAAAAAAAAAGAACTAAAACTTTATTACTTCTTTGCTAGCTAATTTCTCCTGTAGCTAGCTCCCATGGCCATGGCTTTGTTCCGGTCTGATCCTTTGAGTTTGATGTGTAAGAGATTAGTCTTCATTAGGAACAACCAAACTAAAACCCCATTTTCCCAAGCTTCTCAGGGCTTTGTCTTCACCCAGAGGGAGAACAACGTGAAGAACCCTTGTAACTTTTCTGATCAGTCTGGTTTCAAGGACTACTGGAGCTTGAAGATAAAGCGAGTGAATGAGGCTTTGGAACAAACGCTGCCATTGCAGCACCCGACGCAGATCCACGAGGCCATGAGGTACTCTCTTTTGCTGCCTGGAAAGCGCTTTCGCCTGGTTCTGTGCCTTGCCTCCTGCGAGCTACTGGGTGGAGATGAAGCTCAAGCCATGCCCATTGCTTGTGCCGTTGAAATGATTCGAACCATGTCATTGATGCTTGATGATCTTCCTTGTATGGACGACGATGACATCCACCGTGGGAAGCCCGCAAGTCATAAGGGATGTTAAACTATCGCTAAATCAAAAAGTTTAAACTTGACGGTGTAAATTGGATTGTTTTTAACATTWCCCCCTGTGGATTTGGAAACTAGCACAAGTAATTATCAATATTAATCAAAGARAAAATGACATTGCACGAGTTCGAACAAAGACGACGTCCTGTTTTGATGTCATGTAATTAAGTACTCAAAGCTTGAGTTAATAGGATTGGTAAGTTTAATATTTTATTCATTATTCTTATGTGAAGGAACAGCCATGCTAGCCGGAGACTCACTCCTCTCTATAGCATTGCAAGACATAGCCGAAAGAACACAAAATGTTTCATCCGAACGGATTCTAAGAGCTATTGTGGAGCTTGCTTCAGCAACTGGGTTCGATGGGTTGCTCGGGGGCAACTTCTGGATCTCCATTGCAAGGGGAAAGAAGTGAGTCTGGCGGAGCTTGAGTACATTCACCAGAAGAAAACAGCAAGGCTGGTCGAGGCCTCGGTGGTCTGCGGAGCGATAACAGGGGGAGATAGTGAGGGAGAGATAAAGAGGCTGAGGAGGTATGGGAGGCATATTGGAGTGATGTATCAGGTGGTTGATGATATTGTGGGTTTAACAAAGTCAGAGGAGGAGTTGGGGAAGACACGAAAAAAGGATTTGGGTTGTGATAAAGCTATATATCCCAAGCTCTTGGGGATTGAAGGAGCTAAGAGATGTGTGGAGGAGTTGATGGAGAAGGCCATGGAGGAGCTTTCTTACTTTGATCCAACTAGGACTTCTCCTTTGTACTACTTGGCCAATAACGTTGCCAATAGGTAGTGCAAAGGATTGATCTTCTATTTGTATTTTTAGTTTTGTTTGGGTTAAACCACTTTATTTTAGCCTTTAAATACACTTTTAGTTAAATAAATTATGATGTGTCWTGTCTATTAGACAAACTTTAACRTGTAAATCATGAGTCTTCCAAATGTTGATCATCAACTAACCACATTTTAGATTTCATAAGTGCTCCGTTCCTATTAGGTTAGTTATGACTTTTCACTTTGACCTGATTTCAAGTAAAAAYCYMTTGACCATTTTATTGATTTATTCATTTTTTCTTGAAAAGAAATCCAAGCTCTTCTAAATTCAATAGTTAAAYGTAAATTATTGACTCGTAATATATCATAGTCATGAATTGAATAGGAGAGGGGTCAATTGAAATGGAACATTATCTTCAAGGAAAATAGTGGTCGTGATTTCTTTCAGGCTTTTTGTGCCAACTGTTGAGGCTACTTTTATGCATTTGAGTAAGTAGATCCTATGAAGCCTTCAATAGCTACATAATCAAGAAGAGCTCCAGTTTGGACTTTGATAATGCATTCTTTCTCTTGAGTGAGTCTCACTTTCTTGGCTTCTGAGTATGAACAAATTTTATGAGCTTATTAAGGATAGAGTTGTTTAAGCTACAGGGAAAAACTAGTCTTTAAGAGGAGAGCGACCTATCACTCTATCAATTGTTGACAGATGATAATCCAAGGTCATGAATAGCCGATGTCATGAAATGTATTTACGTTGTTTTTGGTTCGGTTGAAGCAAAGACTTGGGTCACTCCATTATAGCTGATTGAAGTACATACTAATTGAACATTGGYATCGCTGAACGTAAATAATATCTACTCCTTTTAAAATTTGGGTTCAAATCCCTGTTTCCAAGTTTTGGGGATTGATATTGCTCAAAGAAATAGCCCAAAAGGCATACAAAGCACCAGCAAATTTGAGAGGGCTTGTAATTTCTCTCACCCTCTTTCCCTCGGCGCTACCTTCCCACTAATTTCCAATAGTATAAAACTGTCGGCCATATTGGTTACAAGTGTCCTAATTTTTTTCCGATCATCATTTGATTCGTTAATTTGTTTCCATGTGGGATGAGGATTCGAACTCTCAATCTAATGGTTGAATATAGATACCTTAACATGCTGTCCCATGYTCTGATTGGCACGAAAAGTTATTGAAAGAATTTGTTAAAAAACAAATTARAAGATCGAAGTAATAATAAGAAATTGAAATGACATTTTTGTAATAAATTAATTAACCTAAAATCATCAAGTTTCATTATTCTGGAATAGACAGACGAAGTTTTGTATATATAATTTSATAAAATCATCTTCAATCCAACAAAGCCTAATSAATAATATTATATACAGATATATATATAACAGGAAAACATATAACTCCATCTATTTGTACTAAGAAAAGACCATCTATTATAGGGTAATGGAGCTATGAAGTAAAATTTTTTACTTTTCTATTTTACCCAATAAATTTTGGGTAATTGTAGCATTCAGAAAAAAATGTATGTATTTCAAAAATGTCACCAGTTTTTCAAAATTTCAAAATATAACAAAATATTTGAATTCTTATTTTCGAATTTTTTATTATTCCGATTTTACCTTTATGATATCTGATATACATCCAATCTATATCTGATATATATTTGATGTAATTCTAATATACTTCCAATATACATTAGATATACGCATGATGTACATTATCGGATGTATGTATTATACTTCTAATATATATAAATAACTTATGATATACTAAATATATTTGCAACTGATATACTAAATATAAGGTATATCAAAATGTTTAATTTTTAGTGGTACATCAACGGTTATAAATTTAGTTTGCCATTGCAATTTGTTGATTGATATACTAATATTATTAAAAATATTGATTACTATATCACTRCCATTTATTCTATATTAATTAATTAGATACTAAATATGTGAGATATCAACGGTTTAAATTTATAAAGTATATAATTTTTTTTTACCATTGMTTTCATATGAAAAAATAGTGGATAATAGTATTATATCAACATACATGTATCATAGTTATATTAGTAGATATCATGGTAATTATATCAGAGGTATATCAGTGGCAAATTAGAAGTATATTAAGTATATATCAAATATATATCAGTGTTATATTAGGTGGTAAATCATATAAWCATATATAAGAAGTTATATCATAGTTATATTAGTGGTATATCATTTGTATATCAATAGTAAATTAGAAACATATCAAGTATATATCACAGATATATAAATGTTGTATCAGTGTGGTAAATCAATGATTATCATAAGTATATTAATGGTAARCCATGTTAGAAGTTTAGTTGATATCATAATTATATCAAAAGTAAATCAATTGTATATCATTATTATATCATTAATATATCAGAGACATATATTAGTAGTTATTACAAATACATTACTGATAAATCAGATATATTGTAGGGTAAAATTGTAATTCTTAAATTGGACCTCCATTTTTTGTTTAAAAAAATGCTATATTTGAAAAAACTAAATGTAGTTGTTATTTTGCTTATATTTAGTCCATAAATTTTCATAAATTTCTCATTTTTTTTCTTT